GCAGGGAGATCCTTGCACTGCAAGCTCAGGTTCACCCTCCTCTCCAGCAAGAAAAACAGTGAGCAGCACAGGAGTGACATCACCAAATCTCTCTCCAGAGGCAGCAGTGTCATAGAACAGTGGTTCTCAACCTGTGTAACCTCAGGCCCGCATTTGTCCTTGGTCATTAAGTCGCGGCCCAAGTCGCACTGCAATGGAACGCACGGCATTGCGGTACCGCGCAATCTGGTGCGGGTGATTAAACTGTCGGCGGGAGGTGCGTTTGGGGTGCCATTTAAATGAATGGCAACACATCTGCCACACCAGAATGCGTAGTAGGTGTGATTGCATGGTACAGTCCATTAATCACACTGGACTGTTCGATTACTGCACTGTACTGGTGTGAACGGGCCCTCAAAAACACTGACAGACACACACAACCGCAGACACATTCTCACATACACACTATTTATTTTTTTTAAGATGCACCCAGTCTCCCTACCTTATGAGAACTGTAGTGGATCCCCAGCCCGGGGTCCAGTGTGGGCTGCTGTGCTGTGATGGAGCTCCATCCATATGTGCATTGCTTGTACAGCTCCCTTGCGCACCCTTGTAGAGGTGCTGGGAGCCAGAATGTGACATCACTCTAGTGTACGCACCTCTACAGGATGTGAGGGAGCTGTAAGCAATGCACTTATGGATGGAGCTCCCTCGCGGCCATAGCTTCAGCCCACACCACCTCAAGCTGACACTCAGTGGCAGGCAGCATATTCTGAATGGCTGCTCAGCGCGAGATCTGACAGCGCTGCGCTAGGGGGAGGCTGAGAAGCCTCTCACCTAGAAAAGTGGAAGGCATACAGTGACCCACGTTTGGGTCACATCCCACCAGTTGAGAACCAAGGCCTTAGATGATATCACAGTACAGATATACAGGTTGATTTTTCAGGGTACTGCTTGGGTACAACTAACATTTGTAGCTTTTCCTAATAAGATAGCAAATCTTCACTTTTTGAGTTCAGGACTTTAATCGTAGAGCGATGACAGTCTTGGAGAACCTTGGTGTTGACTTGGTTTCGAATAGAGAAGGGCCGTTCAAAGTGATTTTGGCATTGTTTGCTGGTCACCCTAGAGGTTATCTAGGGAGCTAAACCCAACATATCGAACTGCTTCGAAGCCCTTGAGCAGACCAGGGATGCACCATTGTATTACATCCCTTTGAGGACCTAGAAACACCTTGGTACTTTCCACAATCTCCCACAAGTTCATAGCTAGGTGCATCAAAGTCAAAACTGACCTGCTTACTCTGAAAATGATGATCAATAATACCTTTATGGTATGGAAACCACCTCAGGTATTTATGTATTTGTGTGTGTGTGTACCTGCTGGGGAGATTCCTGTCCTGGTGACCACACATGAGGTAAGGAAAATCTCAACAGAAAAAAGGACTACAGTACAAGCTCTAGCCCTTCTCCACCACATATAAGAAAAAAATGGCTGAAGTTCCAGATGTCTAGTTTGTAGACTCTTTGTATAGCTTTCCGTTACCTTTGAAGGATAGGAGGCCAAGCCTCCTTGTCACCATGAGATATTCTAGTGCAGTGGTTCTCAACCTGTGTAACCTCAGGACCCACCTTTGTCCCTGGTCATTAAGTCGCGACCCAAAGCACACTGCAATGGAAAGCACAGCAGTAGGGTACCGCACATTCCGGTGCGGGCGATCGAGCTGTGGGTGGGAGGTGCGTTTGGGGTGCCATTCAAATGAACGGTAACACAACACACCTCCCACACCAGAGTGCATGGTAGGTGTGATTGCGTGGTACAGTTTATTGCACTCTACTAGTGTGAACGGGCCCTCAAAACACTGACATACATACACAGACACACTCGCAGACATTCACACACACACACATATACATTCCCAAAAATTTTATTTTTTATTTTTCTTAAGATCCATTACACACATACACACTCCAAATTTTTTAAAATTTAACTTTATCTTAAGTCCACCCAGCCTCCCTACCTTACGAGAACTAGAGTGGATCCTCAGCCAGGGGTCCAGAGTGGGCTGCTGTGCTGTGATGGAGCTCCATCCATATGTGTATTGCCTGTACAGTTCCATTGTGTGCCTTGTAGAGGTGGCGGGAGCCAGAATGTGGTGTCACTCCGGTCCAGGCACCTCTACAGGGCATGCGAGGAAGCTGTAAGCAATGCACGTATGGATGGAGCTCCTTCCCGGCCATAGCCCCAGCCCACCCCACCCCACCTCAAGCTGACACTCGGCGCCGGGAGCATACTTTGAATGGCTGCTTGGTGCAAAAACTGACAGTGCTGCGCAAGGGGGAGGCTGAGGAGCCTCTCACCTAGCACAGTGGAAGGCACGCGGCGACCCACTGAAAACGGCGTCGCCAACCCACTTTTGGGTCACGACCCACCAGTTGAGAACCAAGGTTCTAGTGTATGTACATATAGGTTGCTAGGTTGGAAAGCTTCAGTGACCTCCAGAATCCACCACAAATTGTATTACTCGACCTTCTACTAAAGCAGCCCATCACTTGCCTCATTAAGGGTCCTTCCATAGAAGCTTTCCACCACTCACATGCCTGGGAGGTGTCAGCTCTTGAAATTCTAGGTTCATTCAGAACAACATAATAGAGGTTTTGAAAAAGTTGGTTTTGTGCTCTTGTGTTCCTTAGATTACCAAGCATAGATGTGTATTTTTAGATACATGGTCTTTTTTTCTGCCGTTGAAGTCCAGGAGGCCTCAGTACCCTTTGTTTTCTCCATTTTATTAATTTAAAAGCCTCTATGTCATCCTTCCCGCACGCAATTAGACCCTGATGTTCTTATGCCACTATTCATAGTTTTCTATGGCACCTGTTGTACTGTAAAGGCAAAACAAACTCAATAATAAATGAAAATGCTCGGTGAAATCGCTCTCCTACTCTAAGATGTGATACCTAGTGAAAAAAAAACGATCCTTTAAATGAAAGCAGCTGCCGTTTTGTTCATAAATTAAAATGTAGTGTGTTTGTGTGTCTTAAACAGCTCTAAGATTGTTAAATGCAAATAAGATGCTTCCACATATATCAGATACTCTGCATGTTATACTCAAAAATAATACAACAAATCAAAACAGATGTATGAAAATGATATCCTTACAAACTCTTCGTATACAGAGCCCTGAAGAGCAAACATAATCACAACCAAAATATAAAACGTGTGTAAACAATAAATCAAAAGCATCCAACAAGCTGCAACATGAAAATTCTTCTGATCATTGTTTCCACAAAAGAGCGACCTTAAAACCTCTTCCTCAGTCTATACGTGTTCCTCCTCCACCACTGTGAAAAGAATCAAAACATTCACCAGATACTGCGTGCCTTGTATTATAATGAAGGCGGAGGAGGGATGTGCTTAGGGAAGGGGGTATGAGGTGGCCATGGGGGATATACTGTGAGTAGAGGGGTGAGGTCACCAGGGAAGGATGTGGTGTGGGAAGGTGTGAGGTGGCCTGTAAGCAATATCCACTGAAGAGGGTTGTGAGGTCACTGGTGTGTTATATTCTGTGAAAAGAGGGTGAGGTGGCCAGGAAGGAATGTGTGGTTTTGGGAAAGGGTTTGAGGTGGTCAGGGAGGGAAAGGTTTCCCAGGAGGGATATGCTGTGAGTGTGGGTGAGACCACAGGGGAGGGATGTGCTGTGAGTGTGGGAGAGACCACAGGGGAGGGATGTGCTGTGAGAGTAGGGTGAGGTGGCCAGGGAGGGATGTGCTGTGAGTGGGGGTGAGACCACATGGGAGGGATGTGCTGTGAGTGGGAGTGAGACCACAGGGGAGGGATGTGCTGTGAGTGGGAGTGAGACCATAGGGGAGGGATGTGCTTTGAGAGTAGGTGGAGGTGGCCAGGGAGAGATGTGCTGTTAATAGGGGTGAGAACACAGGGGAGGGATGTGCTGTGAGTGGGAGTGAGACCATAGGGGAGGGATGTGCTGTGAGAGTAGGGTGAGGTGGCCAGGGAGGGATGTGCTGTGAGTGGGGGGGAGACCACATGGGAGGGATGTACTGTGAAAGGTAGGGTGAGGTGGCCAGGGAAGGACGTGCTGTGAGTGTGGGTGAGACCAAAGGGGAGGGATGTACTTTGAGAGTAGGGTGAGGTGGCCAGGGAGAGACGTGCTGTTAATGGGGATAAGACCACAGGGGAGGGACGTTCTGTGGGGGTTAGTGAGACCACATGGGAGGGATGTGCTGTGAGTGGGGGTGAGACCACATGGGAGGGATGTGCTGTGAGAGTAGGGTGAGGTGGCCAGGAAGGGATGTGCTGTGAGTGGGGAGAGAGGTTTCCAGGAAGGGATGTGCTGTGAGTGGGGAGAGAGGTTTCCTGGGAGGGATGTGCTGTGAGTAGGGGTGAGGTCACAGGGGAGGCATGTGCTGTGGGAAGGTGTGAGTTGGCCTGGAATGCATATGCAATGAAGGGGGTGATGAGGTCACTGGGGGAGGGATGTGTTGCAACAGGAGGTTGAGGCGGCCTGGAAGGGATGCTGTTGGGGGGGGGGAGATTTTCTGGGTGAGTGTGCTGTATGTGGGGGGAGGTGGTCATGGAGGGGTGTGATGGGTACCTGGTGTACTTTTTGTGTGGGTGGGTTGGGGGGATCGCACCCTGTAAGTAGCGGATCAGGTGGCCGGAGGTGGAGTGATGGTAGGTTCTCTATGAGTGAGTGGGGGGGTGGGGGAGGGGGATGTGCTGTTGGTGGGGTGTTGTAGGTGGGTGCACTGTTGGTGGAGAATTCAGGTTTCCATAGAAGGATGTGCTAGCAGTTATTTCTCCTGGGTTCTATTTTATGTGATTTTTCTTATGTTCTAACATGCAGCGTGTTCCGGAATGATAATGAAATTGATACCTTTGTATCTTTTAAAATGAACTTATCCTCCCATCACTGTGATTGTCATACGTAGCTTGTATTTTCTGATTTCATTACATCTGATCAGACCGATTGTGCTTCATTACTGCGCCTCTTCTCTCTACAGCTGGAGTGCCAAGCTTTACCTGACCCCGAGTAACATTGTCCTGCTGACTGCCATTGCTCTCATCGGGGTATGCATCTTCATCCTGGCAATAATTGGCATCCTGCACTGGCAAGAGAAGGTAAGATTCAGCCCATCTCTGGAGGCACCCACTGCCACCTGCTCCTATATAAGCCTATGA